TTTTTTTCTTGAAAAAAATATACTAAAGACGCTGGCATCAACGATTTAACTGAATGACATCGAGTAGTAGTCACACCACCCCACCGATTTGATTTAGCACAAATTACTTACTTTTGTTGGAATATCGTAGAGACTAATTCCTTGCTTGATGTCCAAAACCAATCCACTCGGGCGGCCCTCATAACTGCAAGCGAATGTGCGCGTCTGCAATTTTGTTGAGAATTAAATTCCTGTTAGAATCAGGTTTCACTTACCTGCATAGCTATGACGGTAGCATAAACACTTTTATGATAAGCAGTTTCGAACGCTTCTAACATTTGAGGGGTTTCAAACGAAAGATAGTGTCTTGTTCCATCAGCCATACAAGTTTCCAAGTAAAAGCAGTTTTCTCGTTTATCTAGTCGGCGAGAATCGTTAGGGACCTAGGAAAGATATATTTCCTTCGATAATATATGGAGAAATACGGTTACCTGTTTGATGGCAACATCATAGCTTTTGTACAGATAAAGGCATTTGTTCAAGTCTTCAGAACTTAGCTAAAAACAAGCTATATGTATGATTGATTCTGTGGCTCAGCTGTTAACTCATACCGGTGGGCTTTCGAACAAGCACACATCTCCACCCTTTAGTATCAGAAATCGCGGCTCCCATTTCTGTTTTGGATCTTCTGATAGTCCCTCACTCATGTACTCGTTAACCCACCCGATGTAGGAGATCTGAAATAAGTGGCGCTTTAAACAGTTGAAAAATATCGTGGTTTGCGTCGTATTGGTCTCTAAGCATTATAGGATATGGTGGAGCAAGCGAAAAAAGGAAAGAAATGCAAGCTGAAAGTATTACATATATGTTGCAATGTATTAGGTTGGAAACTATCCTCTCATTAGATATGGCGCAATCAAACTTTGAAGTATGTTGATCTCATTGTGTGCTATAAAAGTGCACAAACTGTTTAATTTGTAAATGTGGAGTAAAAAAATGGTACTTTTCCGTTATCCGGACCCATTTTTCCGAGAAAGGATATTACTTCTTTCGTTGTACCAAATTCGGT